CATCGGTGAACGAAACTGTGGCAGCTACAACCACTGTACGATGAGTAAGCGGTTATTACAACTGACAATGATGGTGATTATTACGTTGGCTCACACATCCCGAGCTTTCAGTCAGCAATTTCCTCCCAACCGTTTGTAGACGGTTAGTACAATTGTGACCCAAATGCAAGCCTCAGTATGGGGGGTGGAATGAGGAACAAACTTTCTCCATTATGATCCGACAAACGGTGAATCGATTGTCATAGAAACGTGGATGAATCGCGGGTAGAGTGCACGGGCTGAGCCTGGTAACAACAAAACAAATGCGACCTTGACAACAGACCTAGTGGAATGATAAAGTCGGTGAAGTGACATACAAAACAGGGCGGTGTACAAATCAACACTCAAGTACGCAACAGTGTGTGGTAGTTCGTAACCCCGTAGTATCACGATCAGATTCCACTCACGTATAAGCCTTTCGGTGCCTAAACGCTATGCCACCCGAAGGTAGTATGAGGGCTGGGATAATACCAGGTCGTCCAAGCCTAGACAGGAGAAGTCGACAGACAGACATAGGGTTCGAACCACGGACCTTCCTGTCAGTAATTTGGCGCTCTAACCACTGAGCTATCTCGCACGAGATAGCAAGATATCGCAGTATATTTTCAAAAAGGAAACTACTCACAAGGTTGCTGAAAATTCTTTGACAGCCAACGATCGTTTTCGCTCTTTTAGGGCTCAGCCGGGAAGCACAGTCTCCGAATCTCCGTCAACCCCTTACGCATATCATTAATGAGTGATTCAATTGGGTTCCCGTCAAGACCAAATTGGTATATATTGGTCGGATTACATTACACTCGACGTAATATTTCCAAGTTATTGGCAAAAGCTGACCGTAAGCCTTCAACAAACTGTGAACTCGAGTAGTTAACGTGCGTCCTTTGGTATGCACTTTGCACCAACAAAGTGTAAGGTCATGCACGTGAACATGCAGTTACTGAACAAGTCACTTACAATCCAAGGAGGGGCACCGGAAAGTGGAGCGTTTTACGTACCCCGGAAGTTGTATTAGTTCTGATTGTGACAGATGAGGTCAATGCACGAATCTGCAAGGCTCGGGTCGCGTTTGCTAATTTGAGACACCTATGGCGTCAGAATGGTTTATCCCTGAATCTGAAGGGAAGTGTGTATCAAGCTACAGTACGGGCTGTTTTGTTGGATGGCTGTGAGACTCGGCCTGTTCGGGCAGCGGAACTGAGACATCTTCAGGTATTCGACAATCGTTATCCCAGAACCATGGCTCGTGTGGGTTAGTGTCGGTAAATCCGCAACGAGGCAGTTAGAAAGCTAATTTACGGTCGCGCATGAAGAACATGTTCAGCAGTCGGTGCCACTAGCCTTCCAGAATGGGAACCGCGTGACCTCCATTGGAGACGCCGCAAGATGTGGCTGCTAATCGATGTCAGTGGGTTCTTGTTTTGAGTCTCTACCCAGATTACCTGATTGAGTGTCTAAAGGTGTAGGAATCTCGTAATGATTGTAGTAAGGTAGCACTAAGTCCCTTCCACCTTCATTCTTTCCTTCATAAGAAGGCTTTCAAATAAATCATGTTTGTACGACAGCGAAGCATCAGTGTTGAATGATGATGACGACGATGTCGGGAAATCGAGATTACGGAAGAAATTCTAAACCAAGCATTTCTTTAAACTTACCAGGAACATCATGGAAGAGCAACTGCTTCGACGGCTCGGTCGAACACGATGGAACTACCGAAATATTGACCTTGCTAGCCGTGTCTGAACCATGGTCCTCCTGTAACGCCTGCGTCCCAGTATCAGACAAGTTCAGATTCCTTGGCTGCAGTGAGGGAGTGGGTGGAGTCTCGTCCAGATGTTCTGTGGACCGGGCCAGGTAGGGCTCCAGGATAGAGCGGATAGGGTCTGGGAGGGTAGCAGTGCTCTGTGAAGAGAGCACTTTGGTCAGTAAACCACTCAGTTGATCTTGCGACAGTGCCGGGTTCCTGTGATGGAGTCGATCATCGCCTGTGCCTTGTAAAATCGTCCGGAGGAGTGCCGCAGTAGTGATGGAATCCGCTATCAGAAAATATAGGAAGATGAGAGCAATGATATTCAGGAAAGATACGAGCAAGGTGCAAATTTGAATGCGTTTTCGTATCACATGTAGATATAGCTCACATGGGATTACTTGACACCAAGTCAAGGAAAAGCATGACTAGCCACATTTCGATGCTAGTGAAACAGACTATGGTAGTGTTAAGCAGAATTCCACACGGATCCCGCTATACCGCACGTCTTTAGGCGCTACTACGGCCGATAAGCCTGGCCCGCACGAGATTGGCCAAGAATTCGGGACGCTTGACGGTCCGGCATCAAGACGAGATCTGATTGGTCAAAAATCTAGACTCAACAGCCAATCATGACCCAGTATTGGCAAAATGCCGATTGCCATCGCGCATCCAGAACGCGTCAGAACTTCCAGGTTATATCCGCTTACGCTATATACACGAAGCGGTGTATAACTGTTCTTGACTTCGTTTTTGGCATTAATAGACCTTGTGCACCTTTGGTGGTTGTTTTGACGTGAAAGCTACACTGGAAGGCTCAGACCGAGAAATAAGCTGAGGAAAATACCGTTACTACACATAGTTCGTCCGAAACAGAGTCCGCTGCGTTCACCTGCACAGCCGTGCCTGTAAATAGCACACTTGTCTTTCCGGCGCGTTGATGGTGCCCCAACCGACACGTAATGGCTAAGCACAGTTCGCTATTCGGGGTGGGACCCATGAATTATACGGTCCCATAACCAAACTCTAATTATCCTCACGTGGTTAAAAAATCAGAGACAAGCCTGCCAGCAGCTTCACATATGCCCCCTTCTGTTTGTCCTGTGGGTTTTCTCCACCGGGTTGACACCGGTTGAAAGTGGCTCAAGGTTGTTCTACCTGAGGATAAACGCCTGATCATATCCAGTTTCTGTGCTGGGGTGCACTGACAGCCGTATCCAAAAATGATGCCAGTCCATTGTGCAGATTTCCCAAAGTTACTGTGGATAGCGCATTGGGGCGGGAGTCAACTGATCATCAACAATCCTATTCAATTGCATCTCAAAGGTGGTTAGGTTACGAGAAACCAGCCGATACAGAGTCGCAGAACACTGGATCGAGACAGAAAAAAGTCGTACAGATTAACAGCAAAGTCGAACAGACATGAAGTGAAAAAACACGGCAATCTCCGTGCCTATTATACCAGCTGGCCAACTGAACCTAATGGCTACCGGGAGCTAATTGATAGATGAGAATTCCGCATTTGGCTTGCGTGACAACACCATGGTAATAAACGTTCACAGGCAACAGTATGCACGAGACAAACCGATAAACTAGGCTCGCCCGGTTATTCCGATCACGATTGATTGCCAGGAAGATACATCGAGAGACATGGGGAGAGAAATTTGACCAGCCAATGACAAAAATTCCCGGGGGGGTTGGATATACAACGGATCTTTGGGGAAGAGCTGAATTCCTCTGGGAAAAGTGATAAGTGAGTGGATAGTTACTTTATCACCACTGAACCATCCAGATGAAGAAACAGAGGGATTTTCAGCTCAGTATGTCACTGCTCTTAGACAAAACATATCAACAGGAAAAGATCATTCACCCTCTGCGTTCCCGAAAGATGTTTTACGGAACAAAAGTGTCGCATTCGAGATGAAGTATGCCAACACAGCGACACAACGTGTGTTCGATGAAATGTGACGGAATCACCTATTTTGTAATGTACTACTCATAAGGTTGCTGAAAATCCGTCGACAGCCCACAACCGGTTTCGCCCTTTTTGGGGCTCATCAGGTAGGCGCAGTCCCCGGGTTTCCGTCAACCTTATGTTCTACTTAAAAATCTCCTACTTGTCAACAATCAATCCAGATCGGCTCTCAATGTCACTGACGTTCCTGGTTTAGCCAATCCTGTGTCAGTCACCAACAGCCAATAAAAATCACAGTTGATGGACCACGTTTGCCCGAGCTTTGTAGGGCTACGTTGCTCAGTTCTGAAAATTACTACTATTACCGAACCCTGCCCCCCCCCGTCGCCGTTACACTGATCAATAAAGCAACCAGTTTTTCTAGTCTGACATTCCGCTTCTATTCCGTGTTGGTCATGTCGTTTGTGTGTGTGCGTGCTCACCCGCTGGACTTTGGAATGATGTCACCACCGAGGTATCTTTCAACGGAACGCGTAGCCTGATTCTTATAGGTGGATTCCAGGAACAACAACAACATGCACCCACCTGTATGTGCATATGATGCGTGCCAAAAGTGAGAAAAAATGCAAAACCATTTGACTTGGGGTTAGTAACGGAACAGGTTTTACGCACGAATCACGATGTGGATGATAGCCACAAGCATCGGTGGGTCAGTTACTGTGACACATGAGTGTTGCTGTAGATGAGGATAAGCGTGGCGAATCGGCCACAAGCAAAGTACCGATTGCCGCGGTTTTTCGTTCATCGACGATGGGAGATGCGGCCAGATGCGGCAATGCCTTCTCCTGTGCAATGAGAACCAGGACGGCGTACAGAAGCATCAAATGCGACCGCCCGGGAGCGGAAACACGAGTGGCTAATATTCACCATTCTCAACAGGGAACATGGTAACGGCTGCAATGATTAGACACACTGAAGAACCTCATCGCCAAGCCAAGACTCCTTTGGGAGAGTAATTGAAAGAGGCTGATGACCGGCGATGTGCGGGATGGGTAAACATTGCCAATTCGCACGATAATCAATCAACAACAGCCACGTGTTGATCATGTGACTTGAGTTCACGAGGGAGGTCACTCTGCACCATATCTGCGGTGACTCCTCTCGTCGGCAAAAGTGCAATTATGTGTTGGGCAGTGGAGCTCGAATCGTTTCGGATTAAAGTTTGAGCAAAAATGCTTGATGCAGTGATGCATTGAAAAACACAACAGGAAGATGGATACCGGTATAACGGCGAATACCACTGATGAGGCATGCGAGTAGTATGTCTTCTCGTAAATCCGCCTAACGTCCCTTGAAAAGTGAGATCTATTACGGAACTTGTGAACTCGCTTTGTAGCATTTGCCTGCATTTCAGTGACAGTCAATGAATATCCAGGAAAGTTCAGGAAGACGCGTTCAGGGGAAAGATGGATATTCAATTTTGTAAACAAGATGCATATGAGAGTTTTGCTCAGCTGTTCAATAGTCTGTAACTGTTCAGTTGGTGTTTCTCTAATAAACAACTTCGGCCTTCTTTCCCGGAAAACTTGGGTTATTCACAGTCACGGGGTTACAAGACTGAGCATCTAGTCTAACCACTTTGATTACGTTAGAGAACGCGAGTTCGGAAACCGAGATGAACCGGATGACTTATTGTGAGATTGAAGCAGGAGGGAAAAGGTCACAGAATGCAAAATATTTGACCGCTCTTGGATGTGGTGTCTGTTTGTGAAGTGCACTTTTGAAGTGACTTACAGGGAACGCCCTAGTGAGGGGGTTTGTACGCAGCAAATAGGTAAACTGTAATCACGGCTAACGAATTCCGGAAAATGAGCAGTTCGAAAAAAAACCACCTGATATATAAGAAGGCTCGTGCGTTTCTTATTACGGAATGCCAGCTATTCTGAGTTGCCGATACAAAAACCGAAAGTGTGACTTCTCGCATTTCGGATTCCAGCGAGCTATAGAACTGTGTGGCTGCGGACTGTCAAACATTTATGCAAATTATGTCTACTCAGAATATAAGATTGCAAAAGTGTGCACACATTGGTGTGAGACTACTTCTTAAGCAGAAACATTTACAGAACAGCGTGAGACGTAACCGGAAGAGAAATCTGATCTAGCGCGGGGTGGGGAATTTTGAGATTTTGAAGTACAAAACTGAGAAAAAAGTCCGTGTGAAATCTAAAGTCCTTGTTTAAGCCTTGTGACGTGTAGCAGCACTCGAAAATGAGAAACAACTGGAACGGAAACTCTCATGTCGGTCCTTGCGATTGACGTGGGTTGTATGAGAGAGTTACGCGCGATTCTTTTTTTATTCTGGACTACACAGCATACACTGTATAGAATAGCCTAATATAGAAGCAAGTGGGGCATACCATATTGTCTGTTGTCTAGACAGCAACAAACAAAAGACCAGGTGAACTAACCATAACCGAAGGTTAGCACCGTGTTTGGAACAGTCATGCGGAACACACATCATCCGCCAGTAGGCACGAAAGTTTTCTGGGTGTGGCAGCGGACAGTATGTCGACATTATATATACAAGAAATCTCGATGAACTTCTTGGGTAGAGGATCAAGGAAATTCATTTTTTGGACCACAATACTCAAATTCTTTGGAAGGCGGTGGTATAAGGTCGGGGAAGTCCACAACCGCGGGACGGGGGACAGTCTGCAAGTGAGCTTAAGCAATGGCCGTTTTGATTGCAGACTGGACTCAGGTAAAAGCACCTGACGAATCGCCATTTCGGCAGGGGCGTAGCACTATCCCAACAGTCACACAAGCACGAAAACTCATGACAAACGTGTCCACGCCGGTGAGTATATGGAGCTGCTCAACTTGTGAACACAGCCGCGTGAGCAGAACTCCAATTAAGGGACATCAGTAGCAAAAAGAGTTTATGCACGACGAAGCGACGAAGTTTTAACTACTAAAAATACAAATATTTCCGAGTAGTCGTACGACCGGTTTATTCGTGTTCTATCCAAATTCGCGAGGTTTACGCTTTTTGAAACCACTATTTCGCTCCATCCCGGCACCTCTGCTCACCAACATATGCTACCATAAGAGGAAGCAACCTCAGTGTTGACACTGAGGCCTCACGACCGTACAACTATAAAGTTTATCCAATTAAATTTGTAATGCACTACTCATAAGGTTGCTGAAACTCCGTCGACAGCCCGCCACCGGTTTCGCCCTTCCAGTTCGGGGTCATCAGGTAGACGAAGTCCCCGAGTTTCCGTCAACCGTATGTTCTACTTGAAACCAAATTGCATGAAATTAGCGAAGTACACTCATTTGCGAACTAATTTGGTTTTTCGAGAGACGTGCAGCAAATTCAGTTGCTTAGAAGCATCATAAAGGAGAGATTCAGCTGGGTTGTAGGTGAGTCTCTCGCAAAACCAAATTAGCTTGCAAATGAGTGTATTTCGCTAATTTATCTAATTATATTTGAAGATAGAAAAGGAGTGGGTGAGGGAGGGAATTTGTTGACGACTTACCAAAAGCCTTCTCGGTTACCCGCACCTTCAAGCTTTCAGTTACACAACCTGACAGCAAGATTAATCGTTATGACTTGCAGTGTGTCCAGCGAAGCCCACGATGGGGTCATGGGTGATCCACTAGAAGTGAAATCGAACCAACAACACCAAAACTCTTCGTAATTTCTCCCTTGCATTGGTCCTCAAAGATGAGGACGACTCGTCTGCGTACTCCAGATCAACAAGGCTCTCACTAGCTAAAGCTTGAACACCGGTTTTTTTTAAAGCTTCCGGAGTTCGCCTCATCAGTTCGTGAATGACAGAGTTGAACAAGAATGGACAGAGAGTGGACATCCTTGATGGACACCACTTTTGGAAAGCTCGCCATATACTCACACGCTTAGAAGTAGGTGAATATAGGGGTGTACCATGTACCAAGGTGTACCCTTGACTTGGCAGAGGAGTATGAAGGAGATCACGAAACTCTTGGGTGCTGTCGGTGCTACTCGCCTTCCAGGATGGCGACCGCGTGATCCTCAATGTGCCTGGTTGGAGACATTACAAGATATGGCTGCCAACCGATGTCAGTGGCGTTCTTGTTGTCAGTTTCTATCCAGACTGTCTGAGTGAATGTCTGGAGATGTAGGTACCTCGTAATGATTGTGTTAAGCTAGCACTAAGTCCCTCCCCCATCCACCTTTATTCTTTTCTTTACAATAAGGCTTTCAAATAAGTCATGGTTGTACGGCGGTGAAGCATCGGTGTTGAACACTGATGTCATGCTGTCGATGATGATGATGATGATGATGTACCATTTCATAAAATGTGGCTAACAGCACCGACGGATCGACCAAATCGAACGCCTCGTTGAAGTCAAGGAATACCAAGATTGTGGGTCGTCTGTACGTGTATCGCTGCTCTGACACACACCCGACGGAGTGTGAGGATGTGGTCAACGTAGCCTCTACCCAGACGAAATTCCGCTTGATTCTCGCGAATCAAGGACGCGCGCGCCGTGCATCGTTGCTCTGATACACCCGACGGAGTGTGAGGATGTGATCAACGTAGCCTCTACCCAGACGAAATCCCGCTTGATTCTCGCGAATCAAGGACGCGCGTGCCGCCGTAAGACGAAGAAGAATCCGTGATGCTAGAAGTCAAACTAACACCTTTGTGGCTATCAAATTCACTGCGAGTACTCTTTTCGACTCGACCCAGTTGTCTGGAACGGTGTCTTCCTCCCAGACAAACACAAATAGGCTAGACATGCACTGACTGCGAGATTCACCGCCATCCTTGAAAAGAGTAGGTAGAAAGTCGCGAGGGCCAGGAGCACGATAGTGCTTGGCGGAGATGCTCGCAGTTCACCTATCTATTGAAGGCAGTCCGGATTGAAGGTAGAAGGTGGCCAACTCATTTGTTGCTCAAAGCACTGTGCCAACGGTCCAGACGTCCTCGGTTACCGGAGATTAGAGAGTCGTTCTGGTTCCTGGTCGTTTCGCTGACAAGAGGCCTACGAGGACCAGTCGAACGAATCAAGTAGAGACTCCAGGGGCCTTTCGATGAGTAGTTTCACGCCTTAATCTGTGAGCTATATCGAGCTCATGAAGTGATCCAAAAACGATTTGGTGAGTAGTATAGCACTTACGAACGATCATAATTCCACTTACATGTTCGCGTGCTGACAAAATTAAACGTTCCCGTGCACACAGCACTTGTCCTCACATGACATCTCCGCTGTCCTAAAGCGCTGATGTCTGATATTGAGAGGCAATACAATACCGCAGAGCACAACTGTGATCGATACCGGACGGTGTCCGCATTAGACGCACCAGGCAATTTAGCCACGATCAAGTGGATTATAATTTTCCCACAAACTCACACCCTCTTGTGAGCAAACGGACAGAAGATCGATGGTAAAACACCAGTCGGTGCTAGGATATGAGGACAGGAATAAGTCGGCCAACATAGAAAGCAGTAACGGACACGACGCAATCAGCAAGCCAGATAAGTACTAAAACGGCTGACCTTTACACACACAGTTTTTTCACTTTGGAAGTATCATCTAAAAGGATCGATTACTGGTGATTCCTACTATTGTGACGGTGATACTACTGATGGGGGAGGCATGCAAGTAGTATGTTTTCTTGTAAATTCGCTTTGCGTCTCTTGAAAAGGGATATCTGTTGCGGAATTAGTGGAGTCGCTTTGTAGCATTTGCTTGAATATCCCGGAGGAATATCCAGGAAAGTTCAGGAAGACGCGTTCAAGAGAAGATGGATGTTCAGTTTTTGTAGATAAGATGCAATCGAGATGTCAGGGTTGGGTTCAAACGACGGGTTCAAACGACGGACCGTCTGGTCAGTAAGTTCGTGCCTCAAGGACCAAGTAAGCTATCTCGAGTTAGACTTGCCGGCCATCGAGTAGCGAAGATCGCCAGCAAGTGGTCGCGATGGAATTAAACGTACAAGGTCGACTTCACAACATCAGAGTTCATGCAAACTCTATTCATGCATGAAATTAGAATGTGCTATAATGGTTACCCCGGGAATCCATGGCATCATGACTAACCCCTGATGGACCGGAAAGAGGAAACTCGAAAGGCAGAAAAAACGCTAGAGAATAAAGGACTTCCTTGTGGTGCGACACCTTCCGTTGGGCTCTACTTAGGGGTCCACTGTGACAGCACTGATGGAAACCCTGGATTCTCAAGGTTGAAGGTCGAAGCCCCTACAGCGACTTTTTTCTTAATAGCTATTGCAACTGAGATATGACCGCACACACACACACACACCAGCTGCTTTGCGATCGAGTTTTGAAGCCAACGACACCCATCATCTTCCCGTCAAAGGTATCCAGAACGGATTCTGACCCGCGCACACCAGTGACTCAATTATTTGACAACGAAGCTGTACTTTGTCCGATTTGTGACGTTATAATAATTGTGACTGTGCACTACAAAGCAGTGACCTCCAAAGCACCGCCTCTTCCCCACCCCACCCCCCAAATCCTAGCCGTCCGTGAACAAAGCCATGGTCGTTGTTTGGCTTATGGGAATGATGAAGGCAGTGGTCCACATGATGTCCTGAAATGCGTACAACCCTGTCTACCAGCTTCCACGCATGACGAGAGTAGTTTCCAGCAGGAAAGTCGGAAGGTAGATTTGCATAGAGAAAATAAGTCGTTCAGCTGTAGCACCCTTTCGGTGCCTTACTGTCATGCCACACGAAGGAGGCACGAGGGCTGGGATACTGCCAGGTTGCCCAGGCCTAGACAGGGGAAGTCGAGAGGCAGAGGTCCAGTTTGAACCACGGACCTTCCGGTCATTAAATTCACGCTCTAGCCCACTTGATCCATCTCGTCCCATGATCAGTCTTGCATAGAGACCCAACATGTGGTTTTTGGTATGACACCACGTCGATTGGACGGATGTGCCCTGGGTCGGTTACTGAACGAACGTGGCCATGTTCTTACTGGTCATACCAACCGAGGGATATTGCCAGGTTGTCCAAGCCTAGACAGGAAACGTCGAAATGCAGAGCTCGGGTTCGGACCTCGGACCTTCTGGTCGGCAAATTCGTGCTCTAACCACTCGCCGCCAGCGTGGCGAGCGGATCATACTGAGTTCGGGACAACGTTTGCTGTGAAGGCACAACAGCGACATAGCGGAATAAATCCGCCAGTTTAGGTCACCGAACTCGGGCGAAGAAGAAAAATGAATTAGAAAATGGTGCTCCTGAAGATGAACTGGGTTGACGAAACCTGAACGACAACACGAGTGCAATGTGTGTACAAAAATCAATATGCGTGGGAATGTTCACACAACAGGTTTCGGCAAACCGGTGTGGAATGGTTGGAACAAAATCGATGAAGTTCACAGGTAAACCAAAAAAATGAAGCCAGCAAGTAAGAAACACTTTGGACTTGTTCATGCATATAAGGAGAATGTCGGTTTGTCGGAAAATAGGTAGCTCGGATGTGTTTACTGTTGGTTGATCAGATGTTAGTTGATCTGTTCGCTGAGCTTGGCAAATGGTTTTTCAAACGTTTCGTCCCCAGTTGAGGAGATATCGTCAGTTCGCAGTTGAGTGGGTATCCATTTCATCCGGTGCACTCTCAGAAAACTCAATTCGACCAACAGCACAAGGAGAAGACAAACGGATCACATTTCCATACATCAGGAATGTTTAGGAATTGACTGCACGCCTGCAGTACAACACAACCGTGTCCCACAAACCTGCAAACACTACGGACAGCACTATCAAACCCAAAAGGACAAGTGGACAGAATGTTGAGGACCAACGTTGTGTACAAGAATCAGTGAGGGGATTGTGACAAACACTACGTGGGGCCAATTTTTACTCGTCTTCGTGCAAGAAGATCAAAATGGAAACAAATTCAACTGGAGCACCGTTCACATATCGGCCCAAGAGAGAACAAAGAACGAACGTGAATTCATGGAAGCATGGCATTCCACTGAAAAAGCCGTCAACAAGCACATCGAAATCGACCCAGTCTGTTGACCACTGGAAGCAAAAGAACTACAGAACGCAGAGACGGACAAACTCGGACAAACAATCAGGCTGAATCGGGCTGAAGTAAGGAAACTACCAAAAATAGAAACCGCCATCATAACCAACCAAATTCAAGGGAGAGAGACCATAGAGCAACACTAATCGGGAACGGACCAATCGAAAACGGACCTGAAACACCCTCAAAACAGCCATCCAACCAGCCAGTGGAATATGAGGCATACAGACCACAACGCAGCACAAATCACGATCGGGAGAACAATACTACAAGAAAGATATATCAATTAGCCAATCACACGACAGGATATTAGATACTCTTCGAAAACTACATAAACGCAGCCAGGCACGGAGGAAGCACCCATTCAACTGCTCACTGACGATGTCCCCTCGATCGAGGACGAAACGTTTGCAAACCAAGCTCGACGAACAGGTCCACTACCATCTGATCAACCAACCGATAAAGGGAATCAGTGCAACGTTTTCAAGTCTGGAACTGATGAGCTGTGAAACGATTTCAGTGGGTAAGACAGCATACGAACTCACCACCTGTGGTCGACCGCGCGATGTTTGTCAGAGGCGTGGAGTGTGCTGACCCCGTGGGTCGCGAGAGTTGGACAGAAGGGAACAGTTCCGGAGACGTGGAACTGATCGATTCGAGGATTCGATCGATAGACACTGAGTTGCTTCCAGTGACAGCGGGAGGACACACCATGGCATTTGAGTTCAACAGAGTGGATACCGTGCTTAGAGATGGATCGAGTATGGCACAATCGACAGAGTCTGGATTTTCTGAGTGCGTCGCAGCCACTGACGGATAGTCACCTTCGTCAGAATCAGGAGGTTCAATCAAGCAGTTTCTAAGGTTCTCCGGAGGGCTATCAGAGTGGAGACGAGTAAAGGTAAGACGAGTCGTCAAGCGCAACCAAGGTCACACGTATGAAAGGGAATGTGACACAAAGAACAATACAAAAAGATCGCAAGTTAATTAATCACGCCAGAATGTAACTATCAAAAAAATCCACTATCTCTCCTGCTGACAGAAGAAGTCAAATGGGTCGAAAGTGTTCTATGACAGCGAAATTCGTCGGCATCTCCTTTTTGTGATAAGTCTGCCCTACTGATGTCACAGTTTTACTTTCCATGGGGCCTAGAATGAGTCTAGAATGGTCTGTGTTTTCAGACCACTCGGTTTTCATCCGTGGATGCGTTTTAACCAACCACAGTCGGTAGGAGTTAGCTAGCGAGTGGTCGAAGGGAATCAGCTTCGTTGGACCTAGAGGACCGCCACACGTTCGTTCTTTTCATCATCACAATCGACAGCAACGCCACAGGCTCCGGTCCACACACACACGTTAACCGTTCGTGGTTCAACACCTGCAAAACGAGCAGGCGACCGAAGAAGTTGAAACGAATGATGATGCAGGTGATCGCAGCGGTTCCAAGAAAAGGTGTAATCCCATGGACAGATAAACGGGAATCCGGTTGTCACCGAGTAGTGGCTCCCGTTTGTCAACCTGATGGAAGCCCTTCCGGTACGGAAAAGGATTCCCGAACAGAGACTACGAAGCGTAAAAGCGTCCAGCTGACTGATTGACCACATTAACGACCCGCCCCGGCAACAGCGAATCAGTGGAAAGAATGCGTAGGCTCACTTGAACACATTTGATAACCTATCATCAGCGTTGAAACAGTGCACGATCGGCCATTTGACGACCGGTATCGGAGTAAACGAGCTGTTGGGATGCACCGTTATGGTGGTAGTTAGTCACCTGTGGATCTGTTCGACTAGTAATTTGCTATAAACAATTGAAAGGTCTACTCGTTACACGAGAGGGACGAGATGGCTTAGTGGTTATATCGTAGATTTACTGACCGGAAGGTCCATAGTTCGAAACCAACCTTTGCCTCTCGACTTTCCCTGTCTAGGCTTGGGCAACTTAGCAGTATCCCAGCCCCCGTGCTTCCTTTTGGTGGCATGGCAGCTAGGCACCGAAGGGTGTTTACAGCTGAACGATCATCTTTTTTATCCAATAGCCAATGGAAACCGAGTCATGTGACATGGATCAGTGATATTAGCCGAACCTCTGGTTTGTTGACCATACGTCTCCAACGGTTACAGGTTCAATTTCCTCCAGCTGGTGAAACAGCTCTTCTTCATTCAAAATTTTTCGTGGAACAAAACTTGTCGAACACGGTTTTCTGGATATTCTTCGGACAGATGAGTTTCGTTCTATTACCACAATTTGTACTCAACTCTATGGAGTTTTTCTGAACGTGTTAGAAGACAGTGCAACTTCTCAGCTAATGAGCATTTTCAAAAAATGAGCGGGGGAGGGGATTCCTGAGCCTGAATGCTCCAAAGCGCGATGCTCCTCGTTCAGGGTGACCATCGGATTGTTCGTTCCTCCGGGGGAGAGTTGATAAAAAACCTAGCCGACTCAAGTAAAGCGGACGCTCCACAAACTGACTAGATTACGCCTCACTTTGCTGCTTATGTCGGTCGATATCACTCCAGCTTTTCAGCAAGTATAGCAAAGGAACAACTGGTGCGTGACTTGCATTGGCCACGAATTTCACCTAAAAGTGGGTTGGTTCTCTTTGTAGAGACACACAAGCGGAAGGGAGGACGGGAATAGTCTATTTGTTTCCGAGGTACAGTTCGGCTACTGACACAGTTGCCATCACAAGCAACTGGAACTACACTGTGTGCACTCCGGAGACATTTTCTTATGAGAGAATATAAAGTGAATCTGTTGTGACTTGCTGGACGGTCGGGCAACTCTGTATCGGTCCCTTGGCTTCCTGCTCCGCCCACTATGGTATATCAAAAGGCACGGCAGCTCTACCCTGCCCTTTATGGAGACAAAGGAAAATTATCACAACTGTATTTATAGGGTAGTCACGGAGTGCTCCACAAGGTCGTGCCAGAATCTCCGTGAGGGAGCGAGAAGCGTCAAATCGAAGATGCTCGACTCTGACCAATCAGGACATGCCTTCGTTTGGTCCGTGTCCTGCACGTGACACATCCGTCCAAATGATGTGATGTTCGGTTATTAGGGACGGCTGACCTCCGAACAGAATCGAGATTGCAGTGTCACTCAAGAAACAGCAAAACCGGGAGTCAGAAATCCAAGACTATGACGAGCATTTTAGGCAGCTTCATGGTCGTTGTAGTGATGATATCGATCAGTCTCTTTGTGGTTGGAACGCACGTGGTCAATGGTCCACTTGGTGTAACAACTATCTCTCTATCGAAGGTAATAAAGTGTGTTCGCCGAGAAAACTAGGAGAGAGCCAAACGATAGCGGTCTAACAGCATAAGGACAGCAAAATGGAGCCACGAAGAACAACGAAGACAATGTGGTGAGTCGATAAGCATCCGTTGGGGTGCACGTGTGTGCTTGACTGGCTTGTCACCAATTGACTTGTCATCTGAGCAGTTGTTCGTGCCTTCTTCTTCTCTCTGTCCCTATGACGGTTTCCAAACAGCCAAATGAGATAAGGGAAGGAGGCAAGAGTTAAAACATGTCGGATTTAGGACCATTTCGTTGATCAAAGTTCGAGAGTGGCCCTACTGGCATTTCGTAAGTGAAGAGACCCTTGTAAAAAAATCGTTCAGCTTTAGCACTCTTTCGGTACCTAGCTGCCATGCCACCCGAAGGAAACACGAGGGCTGGGATACTACCAAGTTGCCCAAGCCTAGACAGGGGCAGTCGAGACACGGACTCCCCCCCCTCCAGATCAGTGGCTTCGCACTTGAGGCACTAAATTACCTCGAGCTCGGTAAAATGTCTGGCAGAGTCTTGTCTGTTGGCCAATTTGAGCCGCGAAAACAAACAAAATTCCCATAGGTGACCGGGAAATCCCACTTTGAACTTTTGAGTCAAATCTGACCCATGAAGCATTAAGATAATGAGAGGTTTCGTTCAGAGGTCCTCTCCCTGATAGCTGATTCAAGGGTCTGAACCGAGAGACAGCGGCTGGCAGGGTTTCCTTGGGAGGCCTGCCTCGGAATCAACGATTTATCGGCCTGACTAACTTGGTCCAGATGAATAAAGCGGGGAATAAAATACAGTTGCTTGAATTCTGGCACTACTGAGCATAAGAGACGAGTTTGGGGTCGCATTGGGTTCTTGGTAAAATCAAATAATTTCTTCGACACTATACGATAGTTTGCTGGCGGTCAAAATTCATCCTTGGGTGACCGGAGCCTGTACTTTAGAAACGAATTTTTCCTACCCGTCCTACCTTTCGTGAAGGCAGCACTACTGCTTCTAGATAGCGGAACACTTGTCACCTGTGGGAAACGTCTTGCTATCTTCACAACACTATAGCATGAAAGAGTACGAATTTATTTCCGGCAGTATTACACGCTGCCTGCTGACTGGTTGTCTTCCGTTGAACATTTTTGGCATAAGGGAACCCCGAGGAACGCAATATATGAAATGGATCCAATGCAGGAGCGATTTCAAGTAATAAACTGAGGTTGATTTGTCACTACCATTGGCTTTTTGTCTAAATGCTCATTAGACACCTCTTCGGTACATTGCTGTCGCGTATGGAAGCATGGGGAGCGATACTGGAAGGTTGCTCAAACCAAGATTGCGGCGATCGGAAAGCAAGGGTGTGGATGGAACCATGGACATTCCGGCATATAATTTATCCCCTTACCTGCTCGGCTATCTCTAGCTCGGACTCCATTATTATTTGCCAAATCACTCCATTACAAAATCCGTCGGTTTTGTCATTATTAGATGGTAGCCATCCTGTAGTATTAAATGAAAAAGGGTTCTGTGAAACACAGTAATCAAAGGAGGATGGTCTATCTCGCCCCAGAGCCTCTTGTGATGCGGACCTGATAAAAAAATGAGGTTCAGAAACGCATTAGAACTGATATAGTTAGTACTAACACCCATCCGGTGCCTACCTGCCATGCCACCCGAGGGGAAGGGATATTGTCAGGTTGCCCAAGCCTAGACAGGGGAAGTCGAGAGGTAGAGGTCGGGTTCGAACCTTCCAGTCAGTAAGTTCACGCTCTAACCACTTGAACCGTCTCACCCTGTTCTTTTCATAACTAACGGACAAAACACGATGCAGTCTATGAACGGAAGCGACATGAAGAAAAATGAGCTTACGGCCGAAAACACGTATCGCCAAGCAACTGACGCATCGAGAAGGATACCAACAGGAGGGAATTGTCCAAACGTTTGTGACGTTCGTTGTAACCTTCCAAGATGTAGCGACGTCTCGACGTCACATTGCCAAGCGCAGTGAAACAGGCCAAATCCACACTGACAAACCCAACTTTGTAGAACGATTTGCCTCCTTTGGTTTCCTGTGGGTAAGAGAGACAAAAAATCGGTGGGTTGGGTAAGGTATCAGCACAGGTAACGAGGGGTAAAGACCGGCATGGGACCAACAATCCCCCGGAAATTTGTGCGAGTTAAACTCGAATAGGAACAACGTAGACTGGAGACTGTATCCATCCTGATAACCACAGCAGGTGCTAACCTAGAGTGACATTATGTCTGTGAATGGGACAAATGTGCATTTTTTTTACACATTCCAGCTTCCAAACGTAGTCATACAGTGTCCGGATTGCGGACAGCAACATAATCCAATCCGTTCGTTGTGCACAGATGGGCCAATCCAGTGTACGAGGAAGTTCGATGGGCGTTCATCCGCATAGCTCTGATTCCTACAGGTAAACCTTTCTCGTTCACGACTTGATCAGAAGCTCTGTTTGGACCACTCATTGATCACTCTCATGGTTAGCACTTTTTAATGGGACAAGCATTTTTTTTACACATTCCAGCTTCCAAACGTAGTCATATAGTGTCCGGATTGCGGACAGCAACATAATCCAATCCGTTCGTTGTGCACAGATGGGCCAATCCACTGTACCGGGAAGGTTGATGGGCGTTCATCCGCATAGCTCTGATTCCTACAGGTGAATTTTTCTCGTTCATGACTTGATCAGAAGCTCTGTTTGGACCATTCATTGATCACTCTCATGGTTAGCACTTTTTGCTGTAATTCACCATTCACCGTTGTTACCCCCTCGTGTGCTTGACCTTCATCCACCAATCGCAAAACCTAGATCCAGATAAGTACTTTTGCGTGGTAAATAAATGTACCGGTCGGTTATGGATCTGCTCACGGTTCATGGCAGCCAAACACGCAAGCAGTTGGGGATAACGTTCCCGGAAAGACGAACTACAAACCGGAAAGCTCAATCGAAGCAGAATGGGGGAACAACAATGCTTTTCAGAAAGTGGACTAAACTCAAGTCAGAAACGATGGAAGTGCACCGCCTAGCTATCATCATGCACCGTTTGAACGGTCGGTGTTTTCGGAAGAACAAAGCCTGCTTTCTTCACAAGTTGTTCTTGCCTCTGTTTCATGTGCAGCAAAACGAACGGAATGCCCGTAGGGATAAAGGGATAATTGGTCAGGTAGCCCTTGATCTGTTCGCCCAGCTTGGCAATTGGATTGCAAACGTTTCGTCACCATTCGAGCAGGCATCTTCAGTGCACTGTTGGGTGGGTCTGATGAGTTCGAATCTTAGCAAGGGATTACGAAATAACGGAGTACTATTCACAGATCTATCGTTCAGCTGTAATACCCTTCCGGTGCCTAGCTACCGTGCTACCCGAAGGAAGCACGAGGGCTGGGATACGGACAGATTGCCCAAGCCTAGAAGTTGCCTAGAAGTCGAGGGGCAGAGGTCGGGTTCGAACCAAGGACCTTCCGGTCATTAAATTCACGCTCTGACCACTTGAGCCATCTCGCCCAATCGTGTGTGCGTATGTGATAAGCGCTTCTACGATACAGAAAAGTTCACTTTTCCAGGACTTTGATAATATCAGGCTGATCAGGATCAAACCACTGACCAGCCACCTGCAGCCTAAAGGTATGGCTGCCAACCATTAGGTCACGGTTTCGAATCACCCTATAAATTCACGCGTTGTGCACTGTTGATGATTCTGAATGAGGATAAAACAACAGTGTTGTGCGTCTCGGCCATTCAGCTTCACGCACACGATGAAACCTCAATTAAGGCATAACTCGTCCCGTCGTTTCTGCAACCAGCATGTCACTTGTCAATGCACGATCTGCCTTTTGCCTGGCTGTTAAACAAAGATGGCTATCCGCACAGTAGTAAACACACTCACTGACACACTCAGGTGGTCTAACGAAGGTCCGTGTCTAATGAGGGGATGGTTGGTTGGTTGGTTGCACCGCGCAATGGTGACGTTTCTTGGATTGGTGAAGAAACGTTTGAAGGCCAGTTGGAACAGATCAATAGCCACCCGAGATATCGATTTTCGACAAATTTTCGATTACTCATGCCTAGGTTTGGGCAATCTGAAGGTACTTCGTTCACCTTCGGATTGTGTGACAGTGAGATAACGCAGTAGATCAACGGTTTTTTCGTCCGCCCTAGATAAGAATCCCTGGAACGTGCACACTTCAAAGAACATGTCAAAAGTCAGTTAACAATTTTTCCTGCCTCCCTATATAAATGCTCAGACGATTCCGGTGACTTGGTGTGTCAAGCAGCATCCGTATTTATGATGAACCAGGGCAAGGAGGACAAAGGAAGTGCTTGGACAAAAGAAGCCAATTTTGGACAAGCAAATGTCACAAAGACACACCACGATTGTTTGGCTTCTGTTCTGTCTCCTCTGCCCTCATTGTCAGTCATCATAGCGAACGACCGCAATTTGGACTTGTAGTAAACAGCATGCCTGTGTGCAGGGGCATGCATGCTAGTGAAAAACGACAAAGTCAACCGAGACATGACATTTTGGAAAAGGCACGTGACTTTTCCTGGTCATGGGAATAGCACAGCACAGTTTGGTACAACGTTCGATCGCCATCCGATTCGCCCGTAATGTGTCAAAACACGGGAATGAAAACACGCTTGTTCGAAGTGAAACCGGACATGAACTGAACCCATTTAGGATGTTTTACGATCACTCATCCAAGTAGCCTCCTTAATACGCTCGTTTCGTTTCCCGACATTGAGCTAACCAAATATCGAGTACTTTCGGAGACATTTTGAAACGAAGGCCTTTATGTTGACTGCGAATAAACTGTTCTACGGAAACCCAAGTTTCCGATGACCTCAGTGGTCACTAGGGTGTAGACTGCCACAACAAATACTTATGTTGGCAATGACACGTGTTCTCTAGTTCACTTTTTAAATCCCGACTGCGAACATTTGGTCCTGTCCAACTCAATCGCAGAACTAATCTGTGCGCCTCCAGAAGGACATTTCTATCCCCGCACACAGCATGTTTCCCGTTTACAACGAGCCGTTCACGGAGATGGCGACATTGTTAAAAAAAACTCCGACCACAATCTGCATTCTCTTCTAACCCGTTTGGCTTTTTCTAGCCGTTAGCTGACGAGCGCACTTTGTGAAATCTACACACAGTCTTTTGTGTCAAACAAGAAAGAAAAGAGAGCGTTCAGCTGTAGCACCCTTTCGGTGCCCAACTGCCATGCCACCCGAAGGAAGCACGAGGGCTGGGATACCGCCAGGTTGCCCAAGCCTAGACAGGAGAAGTCGAGAAGTAAATTCGCGTTCTAACCACTGCGAAGAGCAGGAACCCTGTACCGATAGAGAACGGTCTTCGGACCGTCTCATTACATACATATTGGAGCAGGTTAACGCCTGTTATATTAGGCGGGGGCGAGATGGACCAAGTGGTTAGAACGCGAATTTACTGGCCGGAAGGTCCGTGGTTCGAACCTGACCTCTGCCTCTCGACTCTCCCTGTCTAGGCTTGGGCAACCTGGCAGTATCCCAGCCCTCGTGCTTCTTTCGGGTAGCATGGCAGCTAGGCACCGAAAGGGTGCCACAGATGAACGATATTTATTTATATTAGGCAGGCGTCGGTGACCAAATACCTGTAGATGTTTGAGGTCCTTATATCAAGTTTCACTATCACAAAAGGGAGATACTCTCACAGTGGTTTTGTGGATACGGCCCTGGGTGCTAGTCTTTTCTGACGCCAAAAATGACGCTCACGCCTTGATGATTGGTACGCCGACTTAGGCTTACACAAGGCAGTCAGGGCCTATGCCTCCGTCAAAATGAGTAAACCTATCGAGAAATTCAAGCTTCTTTCAAAGGAGCGCAAAGGAGTGGGGAACCTGATCACCCTGTGTTTGGAAGGTGGCGCAGCGTACGCCGAAAAAAGCTGACCAGCTCCGATAATCCATTTAGGGCGATTTTCGCCGAGGCATGACTATAACAAATAACAAATAACAAATAACTATAGCAAATAACAGGCCAATGCCATCCGCATAAGTCTATTAATCATTCTCCAAATATGATGTCGACACTCCGATTCGCAGTCCCTTGGAGAGTACACACCATGATGGTGTCAATGACAAGACTGGACAAAATGGGGAGAGAGAACCATACTAGGCGGGGAAAATTTTTCACCCTAATGCAGCCATAAGCATGGAAGTAAATGGGACGAAGACTAATCATGGCATTCCTCGTAGGCCACGTATATTGAGAGGAGGAAAACTATCGACGAAGTCAAAAGCCCCTTTCAAGTCAAGGAAAATCGCCACATTGTTGGCTGTTGATGTTTTCGTCACCAAACGAGGAGACATCATCAGTGCGCGGCTGGTTAGACAGTTCCTCCTTTTAATTGATCGATCCGTTGACGATACGTGCTGCGTTGTGGTTTGCCTTCTTCAGATTTGCAAACGAGGAACATCATCAGTGCGCGGCTGGTTAGACAGTTCCTCCTTTTAATTGATCGATCCGTTGACGATACGTGCTGCGTTGTGGTTTGCCTTCTTCAGATTTGATTGGTTAACCTGACACCTATTTTTGTCAATTTTCTCTCCATGTTCCACTTGATTCGTCCTTAATTGCGTTACGTTGTGGTCTGATCACGAAATTGACTGATTGGTTGAGCTGTCTTGTTTTCGACGTTGCACTGGCTGGTATTCTGGCGTCCGACGGTTAAGTAGATGCTCTCAATCTGGTTCTTTGATTTACTGGGTAGGTGTATATTCCAATCAAATGGATTTATCCGTTTGAATTGAACGTCCCTGTTTCTTTTCCGAATTCCTAATTTAATCTCTGGTACACTTTTGAGGTCTGTAGTTCTGATATTCTTTTGTCCTTAGTGATTCACAACTTGCTGTTGATGGCGTCTTTGGTGGAGTACCGTGCTTATATACATTCCCGATGTTTCCTCACTCTGAATGATGTCGGATGTGAACCCCGTTCCAGTTGAACTTTCTGAACGGAGATGAATCTTTATCTCTCTCAGCTGTAACACCTTCCGGTGCCTAGCTGCCATGCCACCCGAAGGAAGCACGAGGGCTGGGATACTGCCAGGTTGCCCAAGCCTAGACAAGGGAAGCCGAGAGGCAGAGCTCGGGTTCGAACCACGGACCCTTCCGGTCGTAAATTCGCACTGTGACCACTTGAGGCATCTCGCCCCGAACGGAGATGAGGGAAAGTTGGTTGCATCTTATAGCAGCAAATGTGTGTTGATGTCTTTTGATGGAAAGCTTCCATCCTGTTTGTCCTATATAGCGTTTGTCGCAATATTTGTAGTGAGGCTTGTTCTTGTTCCTCTTGTTTCTCTTGTCCCTTGCAATTTGTTCGCAGATTTGTAAGTACCCATCGTATTATGTTATCGTGAAAGCCGTGCGGAGCGATGTTCTTGACGTGTGATTCGACTATCTTCCCTTCGTGTTATTGTTTTAGTCAATCACCACGTAAAAGTTCTCGGGTTAGCAGACAGTTAGAGCAGTTTCCTCTAGCTCAGCTAAGCTTCTCTATCCGCACACAGACTGTGCCAGAGCTGACGCTAGACAGCCCTTCTGGGCGAATTACTCTCAGTGTTAACGGGGATATGAGATATCGAACAGAGGGACCGTGGTGACTAGTTTCGAATTCAGTGTCATCGAAAATGCCACACACCGAGCACCTCGCTGTATACATCGTGAAAGCAGGAAGCACGAGGGCTGGGATACTGCCAGGTTGCCCAAGCCTAGAAGTCGAGAGGCCGAGGTCTGGTTCGAATCACGGACCTTCCAGTCAGTAAATTCGCGCTCTAACCACTTGGTCCATCTCGCCCCGCGCTGTATACACGGCGGTGCTTATTTCGTCCCAAATGACATCTGAGGATGCGCCTTTGGAGGTCTGCATAGGTTAGTTTGATAAGCTAAACGAGCTTCTTCATTAGGCCTTCCCGTGATAACTTATTAAAAGAAAGTTACATGATTTAAATCGACGAGTGGCCTAGAACAGTCAAGAACAGAGCTATGCAACTGGGAGCCAATGGCCGCGTGGTCAGTCTGGCCCCCATCAGTATGGGAGCATCAGATAGTCCAGCAGGGTACAATGCGTCTGAGGGACAATCGATGATTGGTACAAAGCTGCAAAAGACTTTGCTCGTTATTATTGCATCGCGGCTCGTAGTCAAACAGGTGATTGAGTCGCGCTTCTGATTGACCGAAGATGTCTGCTTGAGCACTGGGATCACCGGTGGCTAGGACAATGCCTGAACTCATAATGGATAGGAGAGCGGTCAGTTCACCGAACTGATGTTATAGTTGGTACATAGGGACTACAAACAGAGAACAGATATCACTTCAGCCAGGTTCTTACTGAAGTTGACAAACGAACAACGCAAGGACGCTTATTTCCGAGGAGCCGGTCACGTAAGGATATTTCAGCTCCAGCACTGAGAGATACAGCAACCCAGGCGATGCAGAAACGCAAGAAGTTCGTAGGAGGTAGCATCTACATGAAGGCTGTCATTCTTGGGGTTTGTGGTCGAGGTTCGGAAAACGCAGCGACTAACTATCGGTAAGGTGCTCACCAGAGAAACCTAATGGCCGGCTTGCTTCATACTTCACAGATTAAAGATTATGACAAAAACAAGGTAACGAGGTGAGAGAAGTAGGCGTAAGGTGGCAGACGTGAGCGGTGAATGCAAGGATGACGTCAACGGTTAAGATCCACAAAGGTGTGACCGGCTAACGGGATACGAGGAGATCCAGTAGGCAATACTGAAGAAAGACGACAGGTCTAAGCAGTATCGTGCTTCAGTTACCCCCTCCATGCTGCACGCATTAAGCAAAGCCAGGCAACAGGTGCCACCAGGAGAAGTACTGGCATTCGTATAGTTCACTGTCGCATACATCCTAAAATATTACAGGAGCTTTCGGACCTACAAAAGAGGATGATGAGAGCCCTCAAACACAGCATTTGGCCCAAAAGCCTGACTGCAAGGCAGCGGCGGTTAGCGTGAGACAATAGTGTGACTTCTAAGGAGTATGTCCAGATATTCCAGCCCCTCCCCCAGGCTGGGGAAATAGCAAACTGTGTTGGTCGGACCTAAATCGATTGACAGACTACCATACGGATAAAACCCAGTGTAGCCAAAGGATCACCAAGACATAAAAGCACACCGCAGTCCTTTGGTGACCTTTCTTTCTCGAACGTTATACACGCTCTAAGGACGCACTCTTTTATATAATCGAATCCCTTGTGCCGTTTAGCACTCTCCATTCAGGACCCCGATGGCGAAAGTGATATCGCCTATCTTCTAGATCTTTCTGTAACGCCATATTCGTCGACTAAAGTTGTACGCATCCTTCTTACTCATATCAGTCAGGTTTCATGCACGTCAACACCACTCAAGGTCACCGATCCGCACAGTGGTCACAGCAATGTTCAGGAATATTCAAAATTTGGCTACCTTAGCTACCTAGTTGTCTAGGTCTTAGTACTCAGGCCTAGCAGACTGACATCTGCATGGCCGAACCGGGTTTGAAAATACAGACATAATGAAAAGTGTACGGTAAGTCCCGGGGTGCTATTAGAGATAAAACTTACCATTCTGATCGATATTTTCAGGATGTTCGGTTCCAAAACCGTAGTCTCCACATTGCTACGAAACTTGCATAGGAATCTGTGTTCGGTATTCCAGGAGACTGTGTGGTTGCGGATTTCGACCCTGCACAGATGAAATCAGCGTAAGAACAACACAGTGACAACTTGCCTCGGAGAATATTGACTTGAGTTCCGAGTGCCCAACAAACGGAGCTTGGCGAATGTGACCGCATTCACATAGGGGACGGAAATGAGACTATGGAGCTTCACAATTGCTTCAAACTGGTATTGTTTACGTCTCCCGGGGATCGGTACACAAGCCATGATCCACCGGGAGAGGGTGGACAGGAAGCGCAAGATAATATGGCGCTAGAGGAATGTCGGTAGTGGTAGCAGAACGAAAGTCGGGATGCAACGGAAAGTGTCCTAGAACAGTGCAACCGGAAAACTGCATCATCCATTGTCAGTCCGACATCAGCGCCAGCCAGCTAGCGATTAGGTGGATGATTATAATTTGTGAGCGCGACAAGCAGGCCTGGTCCAGTAGACTGAGGCTTCTATCAACATAGCCAGAATTCTATTTGGGTTTCAACCTGAAATTAATTAGAGTTAGTTACTTAAAAAAATAACAAGGAAAAATCTAACCGCATCCTTGGAAGTAAGTTGGTTATGAGGCAAACAAGGGTTCGGACATTCAGCTGGATGACAAAAATGGAACGGAAAAACTAACTGCAACCCCTAAAGTCACCATCACCTTTTGAAATATGGATCTAGAAGTGGGAGGGGTGGCGGTGTGGCTAAACGTGAGTGGCAATAGTTTGGAGTATGTGCGCCACTGCATAACTGGGGCGACGTGTACCAACGTTTGCAACTTCAGAGATGTCAACACTGGACGTAAATGAGAGGAGGCCCCCAGGCATGTTTTCGAGGGTGGAATTCTCTTCAACCCCACGTGGCACGGGCTTCTGGAACATAAACTGCAAGGTCGGAATGTCTCGTCATCATCTTCAGTTGTGAGTCATGAACATGTCAGTTTCTTCCGCTGACGACCACGATGGACAGCTATGCATTTAGAGCAGCAGCTCATACTGTTGACGTACGAATCCAAGTGACGATGGACTTTTTGGTGTGGAAATCAGAAAGGGCAGTTATGCACTGAAATCAACAATTTGGATGCATACGCGTCATTCATGGCGCCTGGACCAATGTCTTGCAGTGTCTCTAACTAATGATATATTCTGTCCCGGGGTCCCCACCCGAGGAGGGACTACAATGACCAGAGTAATCGGATTTACTGGTAACAACCTTCACAATTCGCTGCCAGATCATTGCTTGGTCTCCTTTGGCTCTGCTTTACCCACTGCATAGTTGTGTGAAAGGGACTCTCTAAATGTGGATGCAGCGTTTCATCAAACAAAATCGTTAAAATAAGCACAGAGACGGGCCAATGCACCATAGTCTGTAAAATCGCCCGTCGCAAGCAAGATCATTAGATAGAATAAAATATCCCACTCTGAAAATTGAAAATCGTTGAGATGAATACCTTTAAGGACAGTGAAACTGGATACTTGCAGTTGCTCAGCCAGATTCCTGACCCGCAAAGCAACCCTCGATAGTGAACTTGGAACCCCTGACCTAAGGCTGCCACTTTGACGTGGTGGTCGGACTTGAGTACTACAATGATCCCGCGGGCTACACTGGTCGGAACTTCGTTTCAAGATGTACAAACATGCAAGGAAAGCCAAAGAGAAGCAGCCAGATCAATAGCAGCGAGACCCAGTACTACGAGGCAGTCCAGAGGTACCGTCATACTGTCCCCTGCGATAGGAGTGTGTTTCCCCCAGCAAGTATCATGTCCATATTCATGGAAGCAGCAATGCTGCCTTCCCCCACCCCTCCGAAAAAGGACGGGTTAGAAAAGATGGGCCCTAAAAACCGCACACTCCGATCACCCAACACTTAACTGTGACTGCCGGCGAATTCTTCAATACGGTCGAAATACTTTTAAAACCAAAGATTCCAGTGCTGTGCGAAAGGCACCTGCTGTGCGCAGCCGCATCAGAAGTGAGAGAGTAATGACCCACTCTCTGCCCTTCGAGTTAGGCCGACCCCCTGCAGCCGAGCAGGTCAGACTATTGAGTTATCGGCTCCGGGAAGGTCCCCGAATAAAAAACCCCACATCCTCCCACTGTCTTGTGGGTCAGACTTTTGAGTCAAAGGCTCAATGTGGGGTACCTCAACCAAACCCCCTTTCTCAGCCTGGATAAACGAGACGTATCGTTTGCCCGCACAGTTCTGTGTCCACCAATGTCCCAACCAATCCCTTCCTACCACGCAAACAAACATCACTGGGTCATGTGACCGTCAGTTATCTGACCGAAGGGCCTTATGCTCCTCGCTGTCTATTAATAGTAAACAAAATAACACCTTTCTAAATCCATGAGATCCCTTCTATACAGCAGCTTTTAACGTCCGTATTTTATGTCAAATTGGCAAACAGGCAATGCTCGCCGAAACAGTGTACTTCCGTAAAATCGCATACAAGACCAAGCGTGGTTATGCATCACAGAACGCCAAAGATAGACTCAGGTTTTTCACAGTTCTTCCCTGTGTGTCCGGTGATCCAGGAGCGATAACTCGTGGAATATATGACGTGGGAATTGCACTCAGCCCCAGAGCTGAACGCGCTTTGATGGATAGGATACCAGTGAACAGTCGCCCTTGTACCGTCGGGTTACCCAGCTCAATCAAGCTTAACGCTTCTTAGCATAAAAATCATTGCCTGTTTGTAGTGTCAGCTTATGCCCCAACCGACTGAAGCTAAGGATACTTTCTATCGAGAGTTATGCGAGCTCATTCGTCAAGCGAGAAGCTCTGACATTGTGAAACTTGCAAGCGATGCGAATACTCAAGTAGGTCATCTGAGCTCCTTGGAATCACCTTTGGGCGGTCGATTCGGAGTCGATGCTCGTCGCACAGATAACGTGGAGCGACTTCTCCAATTAAGTGTTGGTCACCAGCTGTTTCTGGTAAATACAAACTCAGCATAAACGTTTGCATCGCGTAAGCTGACGGCCACCAACTGCAAATCAACCGTGGGCCCAGTCGGATCACGTGGCCATCAGCCACCAGTGGAGACTGTCATTCTTTCTGGGACAACTCGATTCCGATCAAGGTATGGTGCGTGCACGCCTGACGGTCCGTTTTCCTTCAGGCCCTCGCAAGTCAGCAAGATGCATGCCAATCCACCATCTTCGAAAAGCTACCATAGTTCAACAGTATTGATCTGACCTAACCCAACAACTCGCCACAGGAAGAAGAAATTAAGTGCGAAATATCCGTACTGAGACCTGAGAAGGCACCAAGACAAGACAGACTGTAGCCTCTTCAAAGAAGACGGAGAATCTCTGATGACCCATCTGACAAACTTTTCTGGTGCTACATGGAACGAAGGGAAGGTGCCTGCAGAATGCAGCATGTCGACATTTATTCCTATCTTCAAAAAGGGTATGCGGACACTGTGTGAAAACCACTGTGGCATCAGCCTGGTAGATGTGACATCGAAGGTCTACTCAGATGATACTCAGTAAATGCCTTTGTCATACATGGTGAAAATGAAGCAGAAGACATTACGATGATAGATACCAAAAAAGAAGTTTAGGTTGGTATTGTGTTGAAAAATTGGTAGCTCGGGTGGGTTTATTGGTTATTGGTCAGGTGGCTGTTGCTCTGTTCCCGAGCTTGGCAACTGGCATGCAAACGTTCCGTCACCATACGAGGAGACATCATCAGTGCGCACTTGGGTGGGTTATCGGTCTACTACGCCGACGACCTGAAATACCCGAGATCCAACTCCACCGCCCTCCAAATGGATGTAGACTTTCCAAAACCGTGGTCGTTGGACTGATACCTTCTACTGCGTCCATTTCATTCGGAGGAAACTCAGCGAACGCCTTTGTTGTACATGGTGAGAATGGACTAGAAGACATTACGATTATAGGTACCAAAAAGGATTTATGCGTCTGACTCTCTTCAAACATGTCCTTTCCACTCCACCATGATAAACGGGCTCAAAAGGCACTCTATGTCCTACGGATGATTCGGCGCACTTTTCCCCGTATTAATCGCATAGACTTCTAGATACTCTATGGAACCTACGTCAGACCGCTTCTTGAATATGCTAACCAAGTTGTCCATTAAGGACGCAAGAAGGATGTAACCCTCACTGACCGTTGCCACGGAAATGGTTGCTGACTCTACATTCGTTGATCATTAAACACGTCTCGTCGTGCCTGACCTCTTTCCCCTGGAGTATCGTCGCCTCTTGGGAGACCTTTGTGCCCTATTTGATCAAGTTTCGGCAGACAGGTTTTTCGCTGTTGATACAATTAACTCTGTGGAGACATGGTTAGAAGATTCTCAAGCTCAGGGCACATGCCTTCATTAGAACACAATGTTTCTCATTTTGTACAGTTGGTGCATGGAATAACCTTCATCCGACGGTTGTTCATGCTGCATCTAGTATCCAGTTCAAAGCACCTTTGGGCGCCTTTTATGTGGGTCCTCGCGCTGGCAACCCAACAATCACGTGCTAAGAACTTTAAGGAAAGTTCTGCAGCCTTTTTCGCTCAGATCATTCAGGGGAACGTGGGCCGCTAAACGGAAGGAAGAAATCTTGCCCGAGAAACTTCGAGCCGGAAATCCCGAACCTCAAACGTGCATCCGAAACTTCCACCGTGCAGACTTCTCATAAACGCGCATCTTTCCCGAACAAGTCACACTGGGACCAGCTCCAGTGGAAGACTTATATAGGACCACCGTCCAGAAAGTTCAAGAGGCAGACGCCCCAAAAAACGAGCACGTAGTCCCATGAACCGCCGGCTACCTAAAAGGGTTTGGCGTCTTCTGGAAAAGAGGTCTCAACTGTTTTTCAAAAAGTTGACTAAAGGAGACACTGAAAATGAGCCGGCTTCTCGTAAAATGCGGAATCGCTGTAAATCAGAAATCCGCCAATGGAACTTACGAAAACAGGCGACCATCCCAGACCTCGCTCGGAAAAACATAAATGTACTGTGCAAATACATGAGACATCGCTGCAGAAACAAGCCATCCGCGTTCTCCTTGAAAAACAGAAACGGATAACCTACTAGTGACCCAACAGTGGTATCTGAGGTTTACAGAGGACACTATGCAGGTTTATATTCAGCACCAGCTTCCTCATCACATCCACCCTTGTCAAGGCGTAACTACGAACAGCCCCTAACCGACTTGATCTTCACGGTGAAGGACATTTGTCAACTCTTGCACAAGATCAACCCATTCTGCGCGGTGGGGCCCGACGAGGTCCATTCAAGGATCCTGAAGGAAACGCCGTCTACACTGGCAAATCATTTATACCTGGTGTTTCATCAGTCGCTTGACGAAGGCCGCCTTCCCTCTGCTTGGAAGGAAGCGATTGTCACGTCAATCTACAAAACTGGTGACCGACTATCGCCTGGCAGCTATAGGCCTATAAGCCTCAATAGCGTGCCGTGCAAGGTGATGGAACGCATTCTGAAACGAGCCATCCTAAATCACCTTACTTCCAGCAGCTTGATATCTCCAGCTCAACACGGATTACTCCCAAACCGTTCTTGCGTGACGAACATGCTCGTGTGTATGGACAGCTTAACCCAAGTCAATGGATGAGGGACTCATATCGGATGCCATATTTTTCGAATTCTCAAAAGCACTTGATAGGGTCCCACACGTCCCGCTGCTCCACAACCTTGAGTATTACGGGATTCAAGGGAAAATCTTACACTGGATGAAGGCATTCGTATCAGGCAGATCATTCCGGGTGAAGATAGGCCTACCTACTCATTGCCCAGCGCCGGCCTCCATTGAAGTTCCTCAAGGCTCCGTTTTGGGACCACTGCTGTTTTTGATACAGGTCAACGACCTTCCAGTTCTTCTTGCCGGTCCATGTCTCCTTTCTGTGGACGACTTCAAATCTTAGGTTTCCAAGCAATTGCCCTCCAAATGGATGTAGACGCTGCCAAGCAGTGGTCGTTGGACTGCAACGTTCTAAATCCTGAAACGTGTGTCCATATGTCATTTGGAGGAGACTAGGCGAATGCCTTTGTCAGGCATGGCGAGAAGGCACCAGAAAACATCACAAGGATAGACGCCAAAAAGGATTTGGGTACCTGGCTCTCTTCATACTCGTCCTTTTCACTGCACCATGAAAAATCGGCCCAAAAGGCATTCACCGTTTTACGGATGATTCGGCACAACTTCTTCCGTATTGCTCGCATGGACTTCCAAATTCTATATGGGGCCTACGTCAGACTGCTCCTGGAATACGCCGACCAAGTTGTCTACTCAAGACGCACGAAAGACGTCACCCTCATTGAGCGTGTCCAGCGAGCCGCTATGAGAATGGTTGCCGGCCTCAAATCCGTCGACTACGAAACGCGTCTCGTGATGTTTGATCTCTTTCCCCTGGAGTATCATCACCTCTGAGGGAACCTAATTCTTAATTATGCTTTGTTTGAACAAAGCTTGGCAAACAGCTTTTTCGCCGTTGACCCAGCAAACACAAGGCGGGGACATGGTGAGAAGATTTTCAAGCTCAGAGCGCACACATTCATTAGGCGAAAGTTTTCCTCATTTCGGGTAACAGCCGCGTGGAATGACCTTCCCCCGACGGTTGTCCACGCTCCTTCTAGAGTCCAGTTTAAAGCACTATTAGACATTTATTTATGTGAATCCTCGCGCTGGCAAGCATACTGCCCTGGGCTTAGAAAATAAAGAGCAGTGCTATATTCTTTTTTCACTTGTGCATTTCAGTCGAACGGCGGCGGCTGAACCACAAGAACAAACCGACCCAGGAAACTTGGGCAAAATCTTTGGTCCTGCGCATCAATCCGTGAATCGGGCAAAAGCCTCGATCCTGCGTATCAACCAGCAACTCACTGAAGGTTGCCTGATAGGATGAACCTCGGGCACCCGGTAGACTCTCTTATCCAGTTGATTCGTGTTGCATTTATAGAAAAAACACGAAGACTATACCAATGACAGGAGATTACACCGGTGTGATGGCTCGACATGCAACCATCCCAGATAAGCCGTGATGGGTCTGGTGCATGCGTAGTTGCTTACTGTTCGGTGGTGTTTTGATACACAAAATATCCTTCCGCTCTCAAATTCAAACGTAAAGTTAGGGATTGTAGCCAGGTAGCACGGTTTCTGAACCCTCAGTTTCGTTCCTCAATCAATAACATCCGGTAGAAAGCTGTGGATCCAATCCGTCCCGTTTCTTAAACAAACTTTTAAGGTTCACAAGTATGGCACACTTTCACGGATAGTCAGAGCTTGAGAATGGTAATGTCTGGACGGTTAGTAGCCATAGACCTCTTTAGCCCTCGTACCAATTTGCAAATCGCGAAGCGTAAAGTGGATCCATACGCACCCAACCCTACACCAAACTCAGCATCGAACCCACCGATATCTCACCGTTGATTGGCTGGTGGGTTTAACGACCTTTTTGAGCTCCCCATTTGTTCATTCGGCCAGTGAATCTGTGACCCTTTTCCAGCAACTCTCGGGGGCCAGACTGGGATTGCAGCAGAGTCCCAGACCCTATGCATCGGAGCCGTTCAATTAGTTTTTCACCGTGCTTTGCTAACGGAAAATTTACTTGCAAAACACACTCGAGCACATGCCGTTTTTTGTGTAGATATGGGAAGCCCAGAAGAGACAATATTAAAGCAAAAACGGTCCTCAAATCGCGCAGGACAAACTAGATGATCGAGGTAAAGTTTTCGGAATGTTAAAGGACAATTTTGGCCGAAAAAGACAATTATCCCGGATACTTCTCCCCAGGCAAAACATTTAATTTGATTTCCACCGGATCGTTCGTGGAAATCATCCTGTAGGACCGATACTCCTTTCAGGTAAGCTGACATTTTTTGTATAACGACGATTTGGATAACCGATTGGGCGCAATTAACAAGCGAGATTTTTCTTCAGGCAAAGAGGTAATCCCCCATGACTTGAAATCACCGGATTTCACTAGACTTTCCACCCCGGGGATTTCGAGACTTTGAGCAGCCCATTGCTTTTCGCAGATGTTGGAGCAAGTTCCGATTATCGCCTTGTATACTGGATACTTCCACACGTGCAGCTTATATGCGACCAATAACGGCTAACCACCCGAACGGCGGTCCCTCAATTTTGCGGCCTACAACAATAACAACCAAACCAAAAATCAGCAGCAACCGCCCCTTGATTACCAGAGGTGCACAACTGGAAGCCAGCGGAAACGGGTGAAGTCAGCTTAACGACATGTATGGGTTTTGAATCCTCGCATGAAACAGTAGATATCAACAGAACGCAATCCCTTCGTACTCATAAGAGCAGTCTGCTGTCCCGCATGATTCGGAATGAAAGATGCCGTTCCGAATGCATCTGCTGTGAGCGATGACATCGGGGACAATGCACCCGTGCCGTGTATAACATACCACTGAGATTCATTAGTGAGGGGCTTGGTTCTAGCCTACGTTGAATCTTCTAGGGTGTCTACATCTCTAGCGTTATATCAGACACCCCAGAAAGGAACCGCTTGCGAGATCGCCGCTGAATTCCCTTGGCCATAACTTCCACCAATGTCGGTTATCAAATGTTTGGCGGCGGAGTAGCGGGGACACAGTTCTGGAAGGCAGACCACAACAACCGCTTGAAAAATCGTCACTGAAAACGCGCCCTGCGGTGCTGGACCTCATTCCCCCGGAGTGACGCCGCCTCCGAAGGGACCCAATTCTTACTTATGCCCAGTTTGGACAAAACTTCACCAACAGGTTTTTTACCGTTGACCCAGCGAACACAAGGCGGGTACATAGTAGGAAGTTTTTCAGGCTCAGAGCGCACACATTCACCAGACCAAATTTTTTCTCATTTCTGCGTGTAATGACCTTCCTCCAACGGTTACCCAAGCTCCTTCTAGAACCCAGTTCAAACCACTACTAGACATTTATTTACATGAATCCTCGCGTTGGCAAGCACACTGCCCTGGCCTCAGAACATAAGGAGCAATGCTACGCTCTTTTTCACTCGTGCCTTTCAGGTGAACGACAGCCACTGACCGACAAGTACAAAACCGACCAAGGTAACTTGGGCAAAATTCTTGATCCTGAGTATCAATTAGTGAATCCGTGAAATTCAGGCGTATTTTGAATTGCTTCCGCTGAGCAGATACGACTTCATAGTTTATCAAGTGGCTAAAAGACTTGGGCTTTCAGTGAACGACAGCCACTGACCGACAAGTACAAAACCGACCAAGGTAACTTGGGCAAAATTCTTGATCCTGAGTATCAATTAGTGAATCCGTGAAATTCAGGCGTATTTTGAATTGCTTCCGCTGAGCGGATACGACTTCATAGTTTATCAAGTGGCTAAAAGACTTAGGACAAATATTCCGGCATACTGACCGCCTTGTTTCATGGCAAGTAGCAGCTGTTGAAGCAAATGTTCTGATGGTTTGCCATGCTAGCAGGACTGGTGATGGGGCAAACTCCGGTAGAACGCGAACAAGTAACCGAGAGGCCACTTGGGATACCGCGCCCAAGGAACAGCCATCCGAGTAATCCGGAAAACTAATCGGGTCTGAGGACAGTGCTTTGTTCTCAGCTTTCGAGAGATACCCACAAACAGTCCCGGTCAGTTGAGTGCTTACTGATGAGAAATAATAATGAACAGTCGTAAGATTTCCGATGTCCTTTGTTAACCGAGCAATTTTTATCCAAGGTTTTTAGTAACAAGTCATGACGACAGATACGGGTGTGAAAAATTCTTACAAAGGGAGCAAGGTGAACAGCATTTAATAGACGTCACACACTCGCTGTGTGTTTGTCGATAGGAAAATTTTGTCCCGGTCCCATGAAGCTAGCATAGATAGAAAAACGCGTAAAATAACTGAGGAGAGGAGGCGAAACAAGAAAGGACTCCGAGAAACAGTCAGGCCATAACTGTCTGCGTTGCAAGAAACGACGCACTGATCATTTCCAGGGAAGCGTGGACCAACCACATCTGTAGCCAGATGGCAATCGTTTGAGAATGTCAGGTCTATGGTACGTTAGCAAAAGTATGTCTACGCACCGAAATTTTTCGATGGCACTCAAGCAGAAAGCTGGAGGGTAAGGTAAATAGGCAGTCAGGGGCAGCGGGAAACGACAGCATTCAAGGTGAGGGGATGGCTATTTTATACTACATGCTGAGTGATGAGGCGTGCAAACCAAGTCAAGAGGTTGGATGCATCAAAGGCATACTTGAGAGCTTGGGAAAATATTTGAAATGCTTGGACTTGTTGTACGTTTAGAAGACGGGGTGATCCCAGGGTGGCGCAGCCATGGCTTGAGGGGAAACCGTGCAGCAAATTGTTTCAGGTATGTGATATTGCATGCCAACTGTAGTTCTCTGTTAACTCACAGGTGTCATCTACAATGAACTATTCACAAGACCTGGAGCGATTTTTGCATGTTTTGGAGCTTAGAGATTTACAGGCGACCATTTGTGCTTAACTGTAGAATGAGGTCTAAAATACACCGTCAAACATCCATCTCGTTAGAGTTTTTCAGAAATCAAACCTCGGAAGTACCAACTGGTGAGGTTTCTGTAAGGCGGTCCTCCCCAAATTTGTTAATTCCCAGTTTAAAGCCACTCGGGTCTACACTTTGACAAAGATTAGATTAACGCCCGGAGGGGACATACAATTGTGTGAACAGCGGTGGAAAGGCAACCACCCAGTCAAACGACCTCCAGTGACTGTTCTGCCATTGGTGGGTGCTCACCACTTAAGCAAGAGCCGTTACGACCGTTTGCAACTGTAACTATCCCTTTTCCAAATTTTTTGTGCCCACTGCCACTTGCCACCAAAAGATTCCGCCTGCAAGCTAAACCGCATATTTTGGTTCTTCTCAACGATCCCCAACACAATGGATTTACTCTTACTGATGTTTTCCCAGCACAATCACAGTCACACCCGCCAATTCAACAGGCACAACCACACTGTTCCTCCAGTGACTGTTACACACCAACCCTCTTATCTCAATGACACTCACTGTCCTCAACCAGCTCGGTTATGCAAGGTTTGAGCAGATATTGGTGACTTAGCATTAGGGGTTGGGTGGGAATAAATCCCTGCCGGCTGTCCAGAGAGCTAATAGGGCAAAACCTAAGAACCTAAGAAACTAATAACCAAAAACACTTCCGGGGCTCACGGGGCAACGTGTTTCCGAAGATGCATATGCCTTCATGAATGCTCTGAGGCCGTGGACATTCTTTAGCCAGACAGAACCTAGACGATCGGAGTCCTCTTCAGTAGATTGTATCTACTTATTTGATGACACGGGCCCAGAGCCACTTACAGATTTTCTCATACAGGTTGGCTAGTGAGTACGTGTGACTAACACAGTCTTGTAGTCTCCCAGGTCGAGGGATAGGGCTTGTGTGGCTGCATGACGGTCATATGACAACCACCACTGCTTTGCGGTTGGGTTTTGAATGGGATGGTTTGACCGAGAAACTCAAAGCCTCTACGGCTTGTACGCCTTGATAGTAACTCACCCCACTTACAACCATAAAATGCACACCCACAAACAATCATACGTCACACCGGGCTTTGTGCTGACCCATCAGACTGGGTCACTCTATCTTCTTCATGCGGCAAGGAGGTTAAGGAAGAGCAGCCGACACCTGACTTTTCTCCCTGTTATCGTGATCTTTCAACCCACCCTACGGTTTACAACATTTTCGATACTCCGTGGGCCCAGTCCCAATGGCTGAGAGACCTGTGACCGCCCACTGCCGTTAATGCAATGAAGTTACCTCGGCCGCTGTGGCCACAGACACCTCTGAATCATACCTCAGATAAGGTTCCCCAGCTCTTTTGGTTTCTTTTGCCGTTAGCACACTGAAAATACGCGGAATCTTACCATCCATTTCTCCGGTTCTCGGCTAATCATAATGGTGTTACGCCTGTGTCAACTGTGATGACAGCCTCAAATGAACTGCGACAAAATCGAACCTAACAAAAAGTATGGTTTCCAACAACGTCATTTATTGCACGATTCAATACTTGCGGGTTTCTGCTTATCTGCAGTCAGGTCATCGTGAAATGTGATACGAGAATGACCGCACAACCCCTGGACAACCTCAACACGAAAATTTCCGGTAGAGAAAGACAAGGCCTTCCTGAGTGCGGTTTACTGTCGCAACTATGGGCAAATCGTAGTGAGAACAAAGATAGACATGTTTCTGGAGAACTCATGGAACGGGAAATACGATAGCATGTAAACGTGCGATTAGTCAGTAGAAGAGGCACTATCTTTCTACAAATCTACAGCTAGCCGAAAAACATGGCAGTTCAATGTTAAGGAAAGTTAATTGACAAATATTAAACGATGAAACTGTTTTTTTAATATTGACACCCCTGAAACGTCTTTCTAGGAAACTTCTATTGCACCCTATTTGAGCCAACCTGGAACGAGGTTGTTTTCTGCGGATGACAGTGGGTCCAGTTTGTTCAAGAAAGATTTAAATCCGGCTTGTTTTCTCCGCGTCATTTCCTCCTATGTCATGTTAAAATTTTATATCAGCACTTTAAAGGTGATAACAAAAATATCAAGTAAGGAGTTAGTGTCGGTCCCAAAAAACTACGCGGATGACGCTGATGTTTGTGTCGAGTCAAAGTGTCACGACCACCGAAGAAGAAGTACATTGATTTCCGGCAGAGCTTGGCCTGTGAGTCACACCGTGGTCGCTCTTTCTACTCCAAGACCTGCGCACAGATGTTGAAGTAGATTAATACGGTCACCACTGAGGACTTATACAAGCCGTCGGTCTTGAAGACGTGGCCGGATTGGTAATTTGCAATCACTAATCCGAATGAGTTTTTAGCGGTCCGCCGATGAGTCATGTGAAGTGGTGTGGCTAGCCATCAAACACATTAGCGATATCCCCATACGTCAGAACTTTATCAACATCCACCCCAACATATCCATGAAGCGGTCCATTTAACCCTCGGGCGACACGGCAGTTAAGGGAGGTTCTTGAGAAAGAGGAGTTTGAGACAACTGAATGTGAACTTTGATTTTTTTATCCGAAATGATGACATCCAGCAAGTCATGCTGTTCGGGATGAAGATCGCGGATTGTTGGCAAAGGATAGTAGAGAAAGAGGCACAATTTCTGTCCGCTTTGAATGGGGCTAGACAAAAACGAGATGGGCCGTTCCGTCGGTAAGAAAGGCATATTTAGCGCGTATGTGAGAACGATAGCTTCCGGGTGAGGACGAAATAGCGGGCAAAAGGAGGAGATGTAGGGCCATCCTGCCGCCCGCTGACATACAGAGCAGCCCCTTATATCCTCTTAGGTATGTTGATCCATATGTTCATAGCAGGCAAAGCTGTGAGCCATTCCTGGTTATTCTCAAGGTGCCCCAAATATGACTGATCCATGAGGCAACAGATAAAGGATTGATTATCCATCTTCGTTGAGCTTCTTGGATGCGTGCAGAATTGCTTCCCAGGCTCTGTCCGGAGATTAGTTTTGGATAGCGTCATCGACATCGGGGGCGTCAGCCGAGACGTTAGGCGATTTAGGATCGTAGCGCGTCGGTAATGGCTTGGAGCAGCGCAATACTAGTAATAGCAGAAGGAGGATTTCGGCTATTCTGGACGAAACCGAGGCTTGTGTACTTCCGGGAGGTGTGTTGGTGGTTACCAGAATAAATGCAAATAATGAAAAATGGCTGATAAACCCTACGAAACAGCAAAGCGTATTGCTATCCTTAGAGGACAATACTCTCATGAATGGAGGGTCTGTTCGCAGGATCTGGGCCGATGGCTCGATCAGGGGCTCTGAGAATCATAGGTGAAAACCTGAGGACCGTCACAAGAAATGGACAATTTTTATGGTGGATTGTGAGGCCGCAATGCGAGATGGGTTTCCCGATCAAGTCGTGTTCGTAATCCATCAGACGGACCGACAACGAACAAGGGGTCACCAGGAGGTGCTACCAAACCCGAAATGTCAGAGGGGACTGCGGCTAACAACTGAAAGACAACCTTGTCGGCCACCTTAACCTTACACGAAAAAGACAGTATTCACGGAGATTTCCGCGGACGTCGATTATCAGTAGGGATCGAGATTCCAGCACACACCAGATCTGCATGTACAAGTCGACCATGTCAAGCTAAACAGAACTACTCCCGTCGCCAGTGATAGCAGTCAAATCATCAAGCACCGGAGGTTGTTGGTGGTTCAACCCAAAAGCCGCGCAGCGACCGTTAGATAAATCAGCTGCTGTGCGAATCGGTAGATTTAGCTCCTTCACTACATGGAGTGGTGCTTCCTATGAAACACCTGGAGCACATTGCTGCCCAAGACTGCTTTCGGCGCCCGCCGGAGACAGGAAATTTAAAAGGGTTTGGCCCCATATTGGAAGAAGCAGCGGCGGCGTGCAAAAGAACGTGGAGAACTTCTGCATTGCGGACCGGTGACCAAATCCGTCAAAATGTCTCCGTGAAGGGCCGGATAAAGTCGCTGGAGTCCTCTGCGGCTGGAGAACCGAGTGCGCTTGGACGTAACCGTTAGGACCCTTTGTTTAGCCCGAACCATTCGAGACCCGAGAGGGTAAGTCCTGTAGATGTTAATTAACGCAAACCGGTTGTTCGCCTGACAGACTAAACATGGTTGCTCACCTCCACGGAAGTTGGCAGCAGTTCAAGAAGATTACTGAAAGGCGTGCGCCGAAGTGTATCCAACTAATTGATGTTGCCCGGACGACCACCGGCAGAAGCTGTGAGGACGCAGACTATGGGCAGACCCCACGAGTTTGTGGTTCGGCTTGCTTGAGAAGCACGACCACGGCTAAGAGACGCGGTAGGGTCCTCTGAATTTGTGCGCTTGACCGCAGCCATCTTTGCGGTCCACAGACGTGCATTGCTGACACTGGTGATTTTGTGAGGACAGCGTTTGCCAAAGCGACAGCCCGAAAAGTGTCACGACGCAAGTGACGAATGTAGCCAGAAGACGGTGGACCATGGAATAGAGGGGAAGTTTGGGAGATTGGCGAAAGGCAAGAACTCTGGAGACACACTGGATGAGGGGCTTGAAAAGTGATATCAGGGTGCAGGTTGGTCAAAAGTTCATGCCCATGGGAAATGTTATCAAGCACCGACAAAGCATCTTATCCGAAATGGTCAAGCAGGGGCGTTTGGTTGTCTGCAAACTTCCGGGAATGGAGGCCCAAAATGAGACTGAAGGATTCAAATTGTTTGTTGGGCATTTTTGGCGTAAATCGTATCAAGTCCGTGGCTAACGTCTGAAACGTGGTTCAACCGGCCCCAAAGAACAGTGCAGCGTATCGAAACGCTAGCATGACTCGCTATACGAATACATCAGTAAGTGCTAAACGTCGTCGAACTGCTTGTCACCGGGAGTCTGCAGAAACATCAGGTTACAGTAATTATTCAGCTATGCGAAGCAAAAGCAGAACTTTCTGCGCATCATCTCAACTCACGACGGCACCTAAAAATAGGTCTCTATAACATCTAAACCGTGTCTGAACATGTCATTAACCTCCGAAGAACGCCAAAACTCCGCTTCGCAATTCTCAATTCTGCCAATCTTCTTACTTGGTGTCGGATGACCCATGGCGGCAGTGGTGGGCTCCTCAGGTGGGTGACTATCCCCGTCGGGCTAAACCGAGAACCACTCAACCCCTGGGCAATTCATTAAAAGTGAGGCCGAAATCGGTGGCGTCGCCCGCTGTGTATGGAGGTTGTATGCAACGTAAGAACGAGCATACAAGCCCCTAGCCGTGATGCCAGCAAAGGATTGAATTAACCAGTTCCTTCTGAGAGAAATTTTACCCTGTCGGCCGCAGACAAACTGCAGTGAAGGCATAGCCACATATACACATTCTAGACAACCTTTGGAAGAAGAAACTCACAATTGCACAAAGTAACGGTGGTTGAGACGTACTCATTGTAATTGCTGTAATGTACTTGCCCTCAGTTTTCAGCAGAAAGGAATTTGACGCCTGTGGAAGATTACCACCCTGGCCAGGAAAACTACGAGCCGACATCATCCTTAAAAGAGTCGGTCAGGTGATAATAGCGTCCCGGTTGGGTCATAGGTATGGAAACGGCATGTTTACCATCTAAAGCCGGCTAAACAGGCAAACCTATCTATAGGCCACCAACTATTGTTCTTAGCCTTCCCCACCCCTTACCGCAACGGCCATCTGTAGCGCCCACGACAGACATATTGCTTCATCCAAAACACTAAGCCAACCGAGTCAGGAAACAGGTGGAATCCTTTCATACTGACCCGCGGAGTGCGCCTACGTTGGGAAATAACAAAGGGGAAGCCTCAGATACGTCAAACTACTAAAAAGAAACCTGGAATGTCCGGAACTTACTGGGAAACACTGACTCCACAAAATTAGCTTCGGAACGGCTGTAGAAAAACTAGTTAACCATTAAACGTCCAAGTAGCCGGTCAGCCACGACCTGAGATGGTTGAATGCATAGTCATTTCCTACACTTGATTTCAACCAATCATCCAACGGCGACCAGAAAGCCTGCTCCAAGGTCAAAAGTTCGCTTTAGCCACTGCGAAGCCCCCCATAGCCTTTCGCTCCCTTGGCCGTCGCATAGGTGCTTTGTTCTTGAGTGACTCTTTTCCCATCACTATGGTTATAGATTCGGGGGTGGCAATCACAACAATTTCCATAGGTCCCTGGTCCAATCAAATTTCTCTACCCACACGCAGACTGCAGGTGGTACCGTCAACCAGGACATCTGCTGCTCTTTTTAAAGGCGTTTAAAAGGATGCGATTTCTCGAATCGAGAGGCCTCAGTGACTTATGAAATCCAAAGTAGTTGCAGTCTTTCTGGGTCTTGTACTCAAACCAGGCTTTTAAATCTACTAACCTATCTGGTAGCACATCACTCGGCTCCGCACCTTCGAACGCAACAGAGGTGGCGTTGAACTGCTGCTTCACACACTTTGCAATGCTCGGCTAGTCTTGAACAACCGCGCTTACGGAAACCTGGTTCACACCAGACGTTTCTGACGCAGGAATCTCGGTAGATGGCTACACCATTTTCCAAGCTGACTCGAAACGCGGCAGGACATGTGGGGTTGCTTTGTGCTTACATGTTCTCTTGTCCACCCAATTGTCCTTCGTCTTTTTGTGATGCACTGCGGGTTCAAATCCCTCTATGTGGGACCGATTCCCTTCCATTCGGCGTGGTCTACGGTTGCTCCTCAGGTCAAGGGGGAGATGATTGGTCTTTCATACAAATCCTTGGGCAACTCTCCTCCGCCTACCACTTCATGACATTAACGCTAACAAGGCCTGATGGACATTTTGCAACGGCGCTGGTCAAAGTCATTCAACGGAGCGCTTGGACTCAACATGTCGCTTCACGCTCCAGATACCGCGCAGTCCAGCTACCGTCCCTGCTGAATTTAGCCATCACCTACGAAAGATACATCGTTGATCAATAGTTAATTAAGGCTCTACTAGGTCATAGTGACCACGGTGTGCTGATCTTCGATTTCATCTGCTACTGAGCTTGGAACCCGGAACGTCAAACGTGGTTTCGAAACTTCCGCCGTGCAGATTTCTCAGCAATGTGAATTATTCTTGGCCAACTTCGACTGGAACTAGTTCCTCTGGAAGAGACATAAAAATCATTATCCAGGAAATTCGCGAGGCTCAGGCGATGTTCGCTCTAAAGAAACCAGCGCGCAGTCGGATGGACCAAAACCCATCTAAAACGATTCTGCGTATTCTGGAAAAAAGCCTCAGCTATTCTTCGAAAATAGACACCGAAGATGACCCGGCCTCTCATGAAATACGGAACCGTTGTAAGTTGGAAATCCACCAATATAACATACAAAAACAAGCCACGATATTAGACCTCGCCCGGAAAAACAAAAATATAGTATTTGGATAGATGAGACGCCGCCAAAGAAATAAAACAACCGCCTTCTTGAGGGACAGAAACGGGAAACCGATAAGTGGATTATTTAAATCCCTGCAACGTTCTACTTACGGGTAGAGCATGTGGAGCGGCCAGCAGCAAAACGGTTGCTCAGAGCTTATAACCTTTCTGACTCTCATGTAGCCTACGAGTCATCTTACAGCTGTGGAGGCGCTTGCATAGACAAGGCAGACAATTGATTGGCAGAACACGTCCCAGAGTGCTTAATCCAAATGCTCTCAGGAAAACCGTCGGGTCAACTATCAAGTCCTGCATCTAGTATCTGTTAGATATTGACCATCAGATTGACCCGGTCAACCTGCTCTGGATCCTATGACGCAACACAAACCATTTTAGAGATAAGCTAAGCGCTGCTGATTGGATCCAACCAGCCCAGAGTGTATAAAGCGCTCAGTGGTAAATTGGGGGTTGGGAAAGGAGCTGTCCATTGAAGACAATAGCTTGGATGCACGACCGCCGTTGATAGCGCGACTAAGACATGTCTAACAATGTCTCTAACCATTGGTGAGCCCTGTCTCGGGGTTCTCATCCATGGACATGTGCTTTTAATGGCTTTCATGCCTCGCTGCCAGGTCATTGTCTGACCCCCTGGCTCGTTTCCACCCTTCACGTGGTCGTGCGAACAGAGCCATTGGAGGAAGTCGGTTAAATGGCATACGGAGCACGTGACCGAGCCAGCACAACCTATGTAGTGTTTCATCGGTTCATCTATCGAGGGTGAGATATTTCTCCCGAATACCATTCGAGGTAGTTATCTGGTGCTTATCCGGCGTTCCCACCAGATTCGGACAATGCTCCGAAGATGGTCAAACACTGAAAGTCTTTTGACTTCCTCGGCGCGCAGCGGCCAGTTTCCTGATCCATATAATAATATGGAGCACACCGTAACATTGTAAACTCGACCCTTGACAGAGAACCTGATGTCTCGCCTACGCCACAGGTGACGCTGCTCTGGTCTTCCCAATCCGTATGGAGATATCATCTTCCGCGGGACAAACAAATTTGTCTACTGCCTCAATCGGGCTGGCATGAGGCTGGAGTTCGAGCCCACCCAGTCTTGCAGTAGCACTTTACACTTTGCAGGTGTAAAGCACATACCAAACCGTGAGGCAAAATTATTTAATTATGTGCTGTTGTCTGCATTACCACGGGGTCAGATCCAAGAAAAGCTATGTCGTCTGCGTACTCCATATCTGTGAGCGGACGCCCTGAGAGTACTTCGACTCCACAGTCATTAGAGGTTGGTAGTGGGTCTTTCATGATCGCACCAGTGACGAAGGTGAAGATGGAAGGTGGGAGAGGACAGCCCTGTCTGACACCATTTCATGTGGTGAACTCAGGTGAGATCATCATCATCGACAGCATGACAACACCGATGTTTCACTGCCGTACAACCATGACTTATTTGAAAGCCTTATTGTAAAGAAAAGTATAGGCGGACGGAGAAGGGACTTAGTGCTAGCTTAATACAATCATTCCAA